TCAGAAGCTAAACTCGTAGTCAGTCTTTTCCAACTCTGAGATCTTACAGGGTGGCAAATGAGTTGGAATAAAAAGACCTTGAGAGGAGACATGAGTGGAGGCTGCTAGGGGGTGCCTTGGTTGTCCTGGGAGGTGACTGCCCGGGACAGCTGGCCCAAGCCAGCCCTTGGGGTGAGTGCTGCCTGCTTGGTAATTGCTTCATTACAACAAGTGGAGACTGTTTGCAGGTGCTGAGATCACTCACTTGTGGGGGTTTTATTGCACTCGTCAGATTATAAACATTTTGATTAAATCACCACTTCATTGGCTCTGAGCACATGACTTTTAATAAGAGGACAATATCCACTGCTACTGAGCATCAGTGTACATTCAATACTCAGATCTGTTGGGGGCAACGGAGGAACAGGTGGGGAGACAGCCAGATGCCAAGCTTTTTCTAAGGTGCAGTTATAGATCTCGAATCTTAGAATATCCAAGCAAAAAGTAACCTTAGAGACCAAGATCACAAATGTAAATATCTACATTGGTATTGATAGGATTAAAAAAAAAGGGTGAATGTGACTGGTAAATGCACTAGGAGAGCATTTGTCCACCAAATTTAAAACATTTTAGAAACCTGTGTCAGCCAAACAAAAGACCTCTGTGATCTGTATTTGGATCATGGTCAATGAACTTATAACCCCTGATGAAATTCAAGGTCTTCATGTTACAGAAAAGGAAACTAAGTCCGAACAAGGGGGCTGGACTTAGCCATGATGGAAGACTGCAAAAGAACTATAAAGGCTACTAATAAGGGCACTGTTTGTTGCTTATCTCCACCTTGAGCAAGGCGTGTGCTACGTATTTCACACATATGGTCTCCTTAAAACACACTTGAGTCTGGGAAAGCATCTCTTGAGCTTTTCTAACCTCTGTAGTGGAGGTGGGCAAAGGAAGAGGGGTTGGAGACCCACTGGCTGGTATTTTACACATACGGTATCCTCAAAACCACACTTTATGAGGTTACAAATCAAAACCACAATGAGATACCACCTCACACCTGTCAGAATGACTAAAATTAACAACTCTGGAAACAACAGGTACTGGCGAGGATGCAGAGAAAGGGGAGCCCTCTTGCACTGTTGGTGGGAATGCAAACTGGTGCAGCCACTCTGGAAAACAGTATGGAGGTTCCTCAAAAAATTAAAAATAGAACTACCCTATGACCCAGCAATTGCATTACTAGGTATTTACCCAAAGGATACAAACATAGTGATTCGAAGGGGCACCTGCACCCCAATGTTTATAGCAGGAATGTCCACAATAGCCAAACTATGGAAAGAGCCCAGGTGTCCATCAACAGATGAATGCATAAAGATGTGGTGTGTGTACATATACACACACAATGGAATATTACTCAGCCATCAAAAGAATGAAATTTGGCATTTGCAATGACGTGGATGGAACTAGAGGATATTATGCTAAGCCAAGTCAGTCAGAGAAAGACAAATACCCTTGATTTCACTCATGTGGAATTTAAGAAATAGATGAACATAGGGGAAGGGAAGGAAAAATAAGATAAAAACAGGGAGGCAAACCGTAAGAGATGCTGAACTACAGGAAACAAACTGAGGGTTGCCGGAGGGGAGGTGGGTGGGGGGATGGGGTAACTGGATGATGGGCATTAAGGAGGGCACTTGACATAATGAGCACTGGGTGTTATATCCAGCCAATGAATCACTAAATTCTACCCCTGACACTAATAATACAGTATATGTTAACTAAATTGAATTTAAATAAAGAGTTAAGCCACCACACTTGAGGTAAAGTGCAATCTGCAGTAGAGACGGCAGGCTGTCCACTAAACATGCTAGGCCCTTCTTCCACAGGGACTGAGCTGTAGCTGGGCATGTGGCCTCCTAGCCAATGAATGCATTTCCCAGCAGCCCCTTGCAGTTGGGTGAGGTCTAGAGTCTTATCTCGCATCTTTGCCAACGGCAAGTGGGCACTCTGGGCCTATGACTTTTTTTTTCTTAAGATTTATTTGAAAAGAGAGAGCGCCTGCAAGCGAGCATGTGAGTGGGGGGAGGGCAGAGGGAGAGAGAGAATCTCAAGCAGACTCTCCACTGATCCCACAACCCACAATATCACGACCTGAGCTGAAATCACGAGTCAGATACTTAACTAACTGAACCACCCAGGCGCCCCTGGGCCAATGACTCTTAAGACAGTGATGCTTGGGGCGCCTGGGTGGCTCAGTTGTTAAGTGTCTGCCTTTGGCTCAGGTCATGATCCCAGAGTCCTGGGATCGAGCCCCGCATCGGGCTCCCTGCTCAGTGGGAAGCCTGTTTCTCCCTCTCCCACTCCCCTCCTTGTGTTCCCTCTCTCGCTGTGTCTCTCTCTGTTAAATAAATAAAATCTTTAAAAAAAAAAAGACAGTGATGCTTATGCTTCCTTCACTCTTTCCCTGCCAGTGGACACGTCAATGGGATGTGACTTAGTTTCATTCATGAGGTGACATTAAGGCACTAAGGGATGGCAGCGTCACAAGATGAGGGGAATATGGCAGAACCACTCAAGACCAGGAATTGGCAAACTACAGCCTAGGGGTCAAATACAGTCCACTGCCTTTTTTTTTTGTAAATAAAGTTTTATTGGAACACAGCTACACCCATTAATTTACATATTGTCTATGGTTGCTTTCGTGCTAAGATAGCTTATCGAAGCATAGTTGATGCTCCTTATTTATGGTAGTTATGTTCTGTAAAGTTGCTGCCAACAATGAATTAGCAAATACTGAAGCAGGTCAGATTCCTATGAGCCTCCGGTCACAACAATTTTATCAAGTGATCAATACAAAACCTTGTTTTTTGTGTGTTTCTGTTCAGAGACCTTATTTAATATATATTACTGATTCATGAAGAGTGAACTCACAGCCAACAGCACAGCACTATAACTCAACTCCGAACAAAGCCTATCTAACATATATCTCTGTAAGGCAAACACAGCCTTCTTGCACTTTAGGAAAACTAGACAGCACTTTAGCACTACACCTGAGGGCCATTTTAAGCAATAAAATCACCAACAAAAAGCACACAGACACAAAAAACATGGTACTAAATAGACCACAAAAAGGACACCTGTTTATAGTATAAGCTGAAATAAGATGGCAGAGCGTTATTTTGTTCGACCTTAGCTGCGCCTCAGGTGACTCAAATTTTTCACAGGTTTGTGAATTACTGCAAAAGCATTGCAAGTACTGATTTGGGGGTTACAAATACATTTTAGCAGGAAGGCAAATTCACAAATACAGAATCCGTGAATAATTAGGATTAACTGTAGTTACAACAGAGACCATATGGCCCACAAAGCCTAGAAATGTACTATCAGGCCATTTAAAGACAACATCTGTCAATCCCTGCTCTACCCTATTAGAAAAAAATAAACTTTCTGAAGCCACTGAATTTTAGGGTTTCTCTGTTACAGCAGCTTATTTTGTCCTGATCAGGTTATAAAGTCTATGCTTTTCCCACCACACAGTGCCACCTCATTCTACCACTCAAATTCTCTTTTAGAGGGAGGTTCGTATTTCCACCAACCTTTTTTTTTGTATCAGGTAGGCCAATATTTCTCAGGGGTGGTACTAAAACCTCCTGCAACAGCATGGGTGCGTGTAGCTGGTCAAAAATGCAGATTCCTGGGCGCCTGGGTGGCTCAGTTGGTTAAGCGACTGCCTTCGGCTCAGGTCATGATCCTGGAGTCCCTGGATCGAGTCCCGCATCGGGCTCCCTGCTCGGCAGGGAGTCTGCTTCTCCCTCTGACCCTCCCGACCCTCCCCCCTCTCATGTGCTCTCTCTCTCTCAAATAAATAAATAAAAAATCTTTTAAAAAAATGCAGATTCCTGGGGGTGCTTGGCTCTGGCTCAGTCGGTAGAGCACGGGACTCTCAATCTCAGGTTTGCGGGTTCAAGCCCCACGTTGGGCATGGAGTCTACTTAAAAAAATGCACATTACTCGTTGAAAACGTACATCCGAAGTCTTACTGAATTACTCGGGGTGGGAGACAGTTCAACTCTCCATTTTTAACAAGCTCTGCAAATTATGCTTAATGCATTCTGAAGTTTGAGAACTACTGAACTGGCAGTAAGCTCACGAAGACTATCCCCCTGTAGCTCTCTGTTAACTACCGGGACAGTAATCGAGGGAACTGTAACACAGAAGAAAGAAGACGCAGTAGAGAGAGGGCAAATCACCTGTGCTGCATCTCAGCTCCTCCATTGCTTCAGCCTGGGCTCTGCCTGAAACCTCAGTTTCCCCATCGGTTTAAAACTCTCACGGGCTTGTAGGGAGGGCTGACTGAGAATGCAAGTAAGTACCACGTAGCAGTTGCTCAATATGCTTCAATTTTCTTTCCCTTCCACATGCAGTACGTTATTTTTAAGCTCTTTGGGAACGTCATCATTCCAGAATTCTCTACAAACTCCCACAGATTCCCGAAGTAATTTTCTGGCTACGAGCTTCAGTACCCCAGAGGAAAAATTTCCCATCTCAGGGGATGTTTAAGCCATTTGGTAATACGCTAAATAATATGGGCTCTCTCACTTTTGGGGGGCCCGCAGCCACAGGTATCTACCCTTCTGGGGCGCCCAAACCTCGAGGGCCCGCCCCTTTTGCGTCCTCTTCAATCACACGTCTCCCCTCGGGGCCTCCTTATTTCCGCGTCCCGTCCGCTTCGGGGCTTCCTCTTCACCTCCACGGCTCCTCCCCTGTGGAGGTCCCCTCACCTCTGTCCCCACCTGGTGCCCCCTCGGGCTCTCCAAACTCCATCTCCCCCATCCCGCCCTCACCTTCGGGTACCCCATCGGACGCTCTCGCGCCCCTCGCGTCCCTCGCCCAAACCCGCGTCGCCCTCACTTCCTCCCCTCAGCCCCTCCTCCAACCTGTCGCCAGGCCGACCCACTGTACCCCGCCGCGGGGAGAAGGCACTAACGACGAGGCCCACCCCCCACTTGTCCCCTCACCTCTAGAGCGACGCCCAGATTCTCCCGCTTCTTTTTGGTCATGTTACTTGCCGGGATCCCCCAGTCATTATTGGACGCACCCACTGGCGGCAGCACTCATGCGCCAACCTCGTACTTCCCTCTCATTGGCCGCAGGGGCGGCGGGAGGTGGGGCCACGGGAGGTCACCACCTCGTTGAGGGGCGTGGCCAGCTTGGCGCGGCCATGTTTATGAGGGGCAACCTCTAGTTTGAGGTCTCTGGCGAGGTGGGGAGCGGAGGGTTAGATTGGCCCGGGAGGAACAATGGCCCGCCGTCCAGAGTTGGGGCTGCTCCTTTCTTTCCTCGTTCAAAACCATTTTACATCACGGAGACATTTTTTTCCCACCCCATCTTATCCTTCTGTACCCTTCATCCTTTTAGTGACCGCCCTACTTATTTTAAGGCCATCCCCTATGCCCCGTTCAAATTCTGTCCAATATTTAAGGCCCATCCTGAAGCATTGTTTCCCCAGGAAGCCCCCCCTTGAGCCTCTTGGCTCTGTGGGCTTGGATAATGACCTGTGGGTATTCCTTTTTTTTTTTTGGTCATGTGTTCTTACTCATTTGTATTGTTTTAGTGTAAGAACCACCTACAGGGGCTCCTGGTTGGCTCAGTAGGTGGAGCATGTGACTCTTGATCTTGGAATTGTGAGTTCAAGTCCCATCTTGGGTGTAGACATTGCTTTAAAAAAAACAACAAAGAACAAAAAACCTGCCTACAACCATCACAGAAAACTTATAAATGAAAAGTAACACTCGTTCTCCTACCACTCTTAACACAGTTCCTATCTTTGTTCCTGTGTATTCCCTTCTAGGCTTGGTCTCAGATATAGTATTCTACACTCTTGTAATCCTATTGTACAGTACACTGTAGACCTACGTCCTTAGAGGTTTTTTTGTTTTGTTTCATTTTTAAGATTTTATTTATTTATTTGACAGAGAGAGAGAGAGAGAGCACGAGCAGGGGGAGAAGCAGGCTTCCAGCTGAGCAAGGAGCCCAACGTAGGCCTCAATCCCAGGACCCTGAGATCATGACCTGAGCCGAAAACCGACGCTTAACCGAATTAGCCACCCAGGCACCCCCTTTAGAGATGTTTTAATTGTGACCCTATGATACAAAGTACTATGGGTATTTTGGCCCAGTTACCCATATAAGCGAAACTAGTTTCCTGATAAACACCTTTACCACCTGTGATGTACTCTGATATTTTCTATTCTAGTCTATTTCATTTAAAAAAAGAGTTGGTGGCAGGAGACCTATTAAGTTTATTTCACGACCCATTAATGGATACTGAATTGCAATTTAAAAACCAGCCATAGGGGCACTTAGGTGGCTCAGTCGGTTAAGCGTCTGCCTTCGGCTCAGGTCATGGTCCCAGGGTCCTGGGATCTAGCCCCGCATTGGGCTCCCTGCTCAGTGGGGAGCCTGCTTCTCCCTCTGCCTCTCCCCCTGCTTGTGTGCATGCTCTCTTTCTCTGTCAAATAAATAAATAAATAAAATCTTGAAAAAAAACAGTCATAGACAATTTCTCATGTCTTTCAAATCATCCTTTGTAAAAGATAGCTGTATATACTGCCAAGTGAGTCATACCATTCTTGTATTAGACATTATTCTATGGGACATTACTTCCAAAAAATGCCAAAGCAAACATCTTTGTGTACATAGATCTTTAAGGTAAATTCACACAAGTGGAATTATTGGGTCAAAGTGTATGATACCAGAATCAAACACCTTATTTCTGACCTCTCTATTGGAGCTTGTGTTTCTGTGTGTGAATGATAACCCTGACTCAAGGTCTGGGGGGTGAGGGGGGGGGGAAGGTTTTCAGATCTGTGTTCTCTTCTTGATAGAGTCATTGAGTAATGGAGCTGGAGAGGACCTGAGATATCATCTCGCCTGGCCTAACTAAGGCCCACAGAGGGAAAGTGTAGTAGATTCTGTCTGATCAGGAAGCAGGCTGTTGAGCAGTTGTTTAGAGCAGTTCTCAGCTTAACACCCAGCACAGGAAAAACTTGCTCAAGAACATTGTCCATCAACCGTCAATCAACAGCATTTATTGTCAGAACACTCTTCACAGCATTGGTTCCAATCCCAGAAAAACCAGACTTTGTACTTCCCAATTATCACAGGCACAGGCCCAGGGGAGGTGAGAAGAGAGGGGAAAAACACTGTGTTCTTTTAGAAGTGGCTTCTTATGCATTTGTTTGGCACCCAGAAAAAGCCATGGAGATCTAAGTGGGCTTCGGTCCCTTGTCTCCCCCCAGCATTCCCCTGTGAAATATTGGGCAAGCTGTCATCTTTCTTTGGAAGAGCCTCAGATTTTCCACACCAGACCTTGTCCCGTGGTTCTGGTAAGGGGACAAATACTTGAAATTGGGCTGGAATAAGAGCATGTGTGGGTTGTAGCGTAAGGGGAGTGAGGGAGACCGACCTGGACTCCAGTCCCCAGCTCTGCCACTTAGCAGTGGTGTGACTGGGGACATGACACTTACGTTTTCTGAACTATAATTTCCCATGCCTGCAAAACGAAACGAGCTCATGAGGCCAGGCTTGTAGGGTCATCGCGAGAATTACGAAGTGGTCGGTGCTGTGCTTTGTGAATGACCAGCAGGGACCCAGCAGGATTGATGCATCTGCTGTCAGCTTTCTTTCTTTCTTTCTTTCTTTTTTTTAAAGATTTTATTTATTTATTTGAGAGAGAGAGCACACATGAGAGGTGGGAGGGTCAGAGGGAGAAGCAGACTCCCCGCTGAGCAGGGAGCCCGATGCGGGACTCGATCCCGGGACTCCAGGATCGTGACCTGAGCCGAAGGCAGTCGCTTAACCAACTGAGCCACCCAGGCGCCCCTGCTGTCAGCTTTCTAGTATAGGGTTTTGTTTAGCAACTGTTGCCATTTGTATTTTTTGGTTATTATTTTGATACTGGTTTCGATGAGCTTTGACACTGTTGTAAAATACCTGTTGCTAGGAGTTTGGGGCAAATACTTGGGTGGTTTCCTGCTATCAAGTGGGTTCACAGCAAAAGGCAGCCCCCAACATACACAACATACACAACATACACAAATGTCTCTCTGTGATGTTCTCTCCACCTCTCTACTCGTCCTTCCTGTGGAAGGACCCATCAATCATGGGTTTCATGTGCCCAGGCATCACAGACAGTGTGATCCTATGGTGCTGGGGAGGCTGAAAAGCCCCAGGTGACCCACTGAGGTCCTTCTGTCCCCCTGGTACATACAAAAACCAACTTTGATTCCCATGGGGGCTGTCTGGCGAGCCTACTGCCGGCTTGGCCTGGCTTTGTGCTGGAAACTGCCCATATGCAGATCGATTACTGCGGGCCGGCTGTCTGTCTGTCTTTGTTCTCCAGTGGGCTGTGGTTCTGAACTATTTGTGAGTTTTAGAGCTAAGTGTTTAAGGGAAATAGGGCACTGCATTGGCAGACAGGAGAACGGGTTCATTCCTGGCTAGGCCGGGTTCTCACTGCATGACCTGGGACAGATAAAGCCTCCTCTTTGGTTTTCAATTTCCTCATCTGTGAAATGGGCACAGGGACCAGGAGGGTGAACTAGACAGCTTAGACACCCTAAGATTCTGTTTTAATGACCTTGTTATATGTGAAGCGTCTAGACATAAGGCGCCCTCCTTGGCTGTAAGGTAGACATATAAAATAAGAACCAATCATTACGCTCAAGCTATCTTCAATCTAGTTAGAGAGACAGACTGACAACATGAAATAAATGAACACCAGACATCATATAATTAAACGCCAGCTGTCTGGTACGTACTGTTGATGCATTAGGAGCTCAGAAAAAAAGAGAATGCTGTGGGCTTTGTGGAGGCTATGGGTCCCAGAGGATAGATGAGATTAGGTTAGGTGAAGATGGGGAAGAGGGCACCCCAGGTGGGACCCCAAGGGGCTTCCTATGCCTACAGGGTCGCCCTTTCACCTTTGCACAAAATCACTGTGTAGGCTAGCCACAGCCCTGGCTTATTTGTCATGGAGACCATTGGGTCGATTTTTTTACCCCTTGTTCCATCCTGGGCTTGTCCTGACCTGGACCTGGACCCCAGCCCTCCCCTTCCCACCACTGCCTCGAGGGCACCTTCTCAGAGCAGGAGTGAGGGAGAGTGGAATCGTTCACTGTCAGAAGCATTTCAGGCAGGAAATGAAGAATTTCGTAGGTGGTTAAAAATACAGTGGAGGCTGATTTATGTTTGCATTTTGTTCCAGGACAGCAGATTATAGCCCAAGTTCTGAGGCAAAGGCAGTGGTGTCTTTACGGCCTGCTTGGATCAGTTTTATGTCTTGGTGGTTTTTATATGTTTCAGTGAAGCCAAGATGCTCGAACTTTTTTGTCCTGTACTTCACTGGGGAACTCATGTACCACTCATGCACCCAATCTCATTTTACCAGAAAAAGAAAACCAAAAGAGATGAGAGGGATGTTTTCGCTTGCTATTTAATTGGTATCAGGTTTTTAGCTAAATGAAATCAAATCATAAATGATGAATCCACATGAGACCCTGAAGTAGATGTCAAGTGACATCGTGAAAACGAAAGGACAGAGATCTAAATAGTGTTGAATATGCATATCCATGATATATTAATATCAGTAATATCCTCTTGATCAGATATCAGTGCCAAGATAAGCTGTGTGAGCTTTCCCAGCATGCTGTTATGTTTTCACCTTAATGGCTGCTGTACCTTTTGTAACTGATCCTGCTTCCCACATTTTTGTTCATGAGAAAGCTCAGATCTGAACTTGTTCAGGGATTTGGAGCATAAGTTTCCATGTACCAGCATTTTCCCTGGCTTTATTTTATTCTTCTACCCTTGTTTCCCTTTGCTCTTATCACTTTATCTATTTTTATCCCACTGTATTGTGTGCATCTTGGTAAACTACCTCAAATCCTTTTTTGGAACACAAAGCAGCATAAATAAATCAATAAATACATCCTGTGTCTGTAAATACGGCCCTTTGTTCTTTCTAAGGCAATTTTCACATCCATTAGCTCTGTGGTCCTCACACACCCCTGTAAGGGAAGTTGGGCAGATGCTCCATCGGCCCCATTTTGCAGGCAAGGAAGCTGAGGTACATCCA